GCTGCGAAAAAAAGTAGATGGGATAAATAAACGCAACGAGGACCATGAAGAAAGCCCGCAGTCCTGCCTAAGTAAAAAATGGGACGCCAATAGGATCTGCCGTTTGTCTTGATAGCTGTGACTACAGCAGCCACCAAGATCCATTCCCATTACATAAATCACAAAAGGATTTGATCAAAACGGGGAATTGTGGAGCTACTAAGTCATTGGGGTCAGTGACCTTTGAGAGCAACATGGACCAAAAGTCCCGAGTTTATGTTGCTATAAGCGGGGTGTGCGATAGACTTACCTCCACGTGGTGCATCCTGGGAAACATATACTCATTTGGCAACGGTCTATAGACCGGCAGTTGACTTTTGATTTCAAACTACCATGACCCTATTGTAGGTCATATTTGACCACTTCCACAGTACTCATCTTGCATTTTCTCTGGCTTTGTGTCTGTCTGTCTGTCTCTTATACATCTGTGAAGCCCACTTCTGCTCCCTACCCCTTGACTTTCTGCTACTTTGATGAACCTTCCCTCACTGTTCCCCATCCCTCGACTTTCTGTTACTTGGATGTTCCGTCTACCCCGAAGTCAGCTAAAGGGCTAATGATAACTATCAAAACACCTGTCATTTGAAATAAATAAGTGAACTCCAATTCTGACGTCTCAGTAGCATTGGGACACACACACACACGCTAAACCACCTACACTTTGTGGCTAGTCAAAGAAAATAAGAAAAAGTGGCTCCTGTAAATGAGTAATACTGATCGTGGGTGCAAGCGATTGAGAGCGTGATCGGAAGCACGAAAATGCAAATATGGAAGGCCCCAAGCAGTTGGCAACATGCATCTATGCACACATGCACACACACACACACACATGCAAATGTGGACAGGGAGCAAATACATGCAAGGCACCATGGTGACAACAGAAGAACTGAGAAGTGCCAAGCCAGAGAGAGAGAGAGAGAAATTACAAGTAGTACGTTTCCGTGACCAAAGAAACGCGGTTTAGGTGAAGAGTTTGGCGCCTCAGTTAAAAGATTTTGAGTGGGAGTGAATATGGAGTTTTCAATAGGAGAGAGTGGTAGGATTTGGTGATTATTTTTTGGCCCTCCGACACTCCAATCATGGAAATCTGTGCGAACGAATAGGATCACACAAATCAAACAAACATTAAATTGAAGACAGCGTGACTATGAGAGTTCTAACTTGGGGGTTTTGAATAAGAGGCATTGGTGGGAACACTGGGAAATTGCGATACGCAAAGCGAATTACTTGACGCAAAATCAACTTTCATCCATACTGAATTAAGAAAGGATCGTTATGTTATAACAGAACAACGAGAACGACTGAAAAATTTAAACTCATTTTCAATATAAATAAATAAATATATATTTTGAAAACTGAGCGAAATAACGTCTAAATTCGATTAGGAAAACAAATAAGATATCAAAAATAACATTGTTTCTATATTATATGACTCAATAGTAAAGCAAGATTAGGTAGAAATATAAAAAGACACACGAGGCAAGGAGAATTCCAGTGATTACTAATAAAAAGGAATAATAGATTTAAATTTTTAATTACCACAATTAGGCACAAAAAATGGCCAATAAAAATCCTATTCACTCGAGACTCTAGAAACTAGAAATCGTTTAAATGATCAGTAGCTTAAAATACTCGCAATTAATAAGTTGATTAATGTTAAAGGAGAAATTTTATTTCAAATGGCAGGCGTTTTGATAGTTATCATTAGCCCTTTAGCTGACGTCGGGCTTCACTGAGGGAAGGAACATCAAAGTAACAGAAGAGTGATTCACAGACAGACAGACACAAAGGTAGAGAAAAGGTAAGATGAGTACTGTGGAAGTAGTCGAATATGACATATAGTTGTGTCATGGTAGTTTGAAATCAGGAGTCAACTGTCGGTTTATAGTTTTTTTGCTGTATGAGTATACGTTAAGGGCTAAAAATAGAGCATGATATACCAAGAAATTTAAGTACAGGTTGTAACTGTTCCTTGAAAGTGTGAAATATATTTAAATGTATACCTTTACCCCTATGAGAATAATAAATAGCCCACCCTAACGGTTTTAATGGAATGTCATTAGTACAATTGTTAACGTCCCCAATAAACCCACCTCTTGCAAATCCACAGCAATAACATGACGAGCTTGAATGACACTGACTTGGTAGGTGTACGAATTAACCCCAAAGACATCCCATCGATAGTCACCCAAGTAGAGCGCGAAATTGCTGGTTTCTGGATCAACCAAAGAAGAATTTGACTCCAATTTAGAAGGTATCTGGAGAAGACCTCGGAGAATACGAAGTCTCGTTCTCACTGAAGACTGAAGTGGGTAAATAACACAGCTACTTATACAAGTTCAGTAGATACACTATTCAATTGCAAACAATCTTACATATATGAAATGACTAAGAGGTTTAGAGGTTCCCTTTTCCAAGGTCATTCGTCCACAGGCACCTAATTGGAGGGGAAATGGCCAGCCCTCATTGGGAGGAAAGGTAGTAGCAATAAGCGCATGCGGATTGATAGCCAGATTGAAGAGAAGTGTGAGCTCATCAAAACGCAACCATGATTTTTGTGGCGGTAGATTTCGATTGCTCGAGCGTTCACGATATCTGTAGACGCATGATAGAATATAAAGATATTATTTATGGCAAATGGCAGGCGGTGTGATAGTTATCATTAGCCCTTTAGTTGACTTCGGGCTTCACAGAGGAGAGGAGGAGGAAGATCAAAGTGAGAAGAATTCGAGAGGGGGAATAGAAGAGTGATTCACAGATGTAAAAGAGACAGACAGGCACCAAG